GCTTAGGGCTATTTTGTGGTGGCATCAGAGAGGGTGCTCCACTTCTATCCCTGAACCAAGCTCAAATGGTGGGTGACAAAGTGAGCCAAGTTGGCTGGGGTGCTCCCTTGGCTGAAAGCTGGGATGACAGGTGTTTCCCCTGGAAAACTGAGGAGAGGGCAGTCCAGGCAGGGGACGAGCATGTGCAAAGGCTTGGAAGCGGGAAGGATCCTGGGAGTTCTGGTGTGCTTGGTGGGGCCACAATGCTTGTCCCTCTTTCACCAATGGGGCAATTGAGATCCAGGAAAGCTAAGTGACTTGTCTGGGTGGAAGTCAGCTTGAACCTTCTGACTGCAAGGTCAGTGCCCCACACATGCCTACTGGCTGTCCCACCCTCCTAAAAATATCAGCATGCTTGATGGGAAGAGGAGGTGAAAAAGAGGAGCAGGAAGAGGAAGAATTTAGGATCTGTGAGCCCTGTGTCCCACGGTGGTGAGCCATTCAGCTCCATTTGCCTCCAACTCTTCTCCCCGAGGCTGCCCAAATGCAGACACCCAAGCAGAGGCTGGCAGGTCTCCCCAGGTCCCACTTCTTCAACGCAGCCTCTTGCACACACAGGCTGGAAAACATTTCAAGTTACCACAGCCTGCCTTGTGTTTGTTTTTAAAAACATAACCATGGCACCTGGTGCTTCTGCCAAAAGGGAGGAGCCCAAGAAGGCCCATAAGAGTTGGGGGCTTGGGCAGCAGGGGGTTTGGAGTCTTAAAGACCAAGCCAGCCTGAGGCATAGAATTTGACAAGTCAAATTTGAGGGCTCCTGAAAGTTCTCCAAAATCTTCGCTGTTTTCTGTTATCATTCAAAGCCTATCATTAGAATCGATATTCTAAGGAAAGAAAATGCAAATGAATGATGCTTGGAAGGGGAACCTCTACTCGTTGAGGTGTGCATTTGAGAGCATTGTCTGAACGGCTGCCTCATTGCTGCACTGGTCCAAACACTTCTGTTTAACCCTCTCTTTCCTACACGCTGAGGAGCTCCTGCCCCCTGATGTTTACAGAGAACAGTCCAGGAATGGGAGATTGCAGTTCCACTGTGGTGGAAGCGCCACACTCCAGGTCTTGGGACTTTTCTAATAGGACCTGACGTTTCTCCAAAGGCTAGTTGTAAACTACAGTTCACGCTCAGCACATAGGAATTAGAAGCCATCCCAGAGGTATCTAGGTCTTTCCTCTCACGGGGCAGAAGAGGTGGAGGAAGACCGGGGAGGGTGGGAAGGACTTACCCATACTGATGGGTGGCACTGTTGGAACTAGACCATAGATGTCCTGATTTCAGCCCTAATTCTCTGGGATCATGTTGTCTCTTCCCATCGAAGAGCAAGTGGCACCTAGGGGGCCAGGCCCTGGGCCAGGCAGTGGTCCGTGCCCTTGAGGGGCTCCCTGAGACTCAGGCTGAGGACGCTGGGAATAGGGACTCATCTGAATCAGGGTGGGCAGAGGCAGCCAGGGTGGGCTCAGTGCACTGTGGAGAACACAGCGAAAGAGACATATAGAAGTTTCTAGGGGGAGTTACACAGGAGGTTAAAGATGACTGGGACTTCATTACCAGGAGATGCAGAGAGGGACCTTCCAAGACTGGGGGAGATTAGGGTCAACTTCCTGGGAAAAGGAGGCAGCCTGCTTTGCTCCTAGCCTCAGTGGGCTTCCCAGAGCTGTAACCAGGACCCCCAGTATCCACTGCAGACCTCCCACCTCAGGGCCCACATGGAGATTGCCGCACAGGTTGTATTTTAGCCTGAGAGACCCCCTCATGATGGGAAGGCAGGAAATGTGACAGGCGATGAGAAGAGCCCTTTCTGGAGCAGTGGTTTGTGAAGATTTACATGTGTGTTCGTGTGAGGGTGCTTTCTCACCTTTTAGTACTGTCCACTTTCAAATTCCACTTAAGAGCCATCTGCCCCATATTAATGTTGAGGTGACCAATCCCTCTCCCTCTCCCCTTGGCCAAATTAGCCCGCCCTCTGACTTGGTTTCCCCACATGTAAGATAGGCAGGTGAACTTTTCACTCAGGCTCCTGCTTGGGAGGGATTCTTACCATGTCTCATACTTGCTCTTTGCTGGCCTGTCGAAGGTGCCATCTGGTGGCCAATATTTGCCATGCAGATCATGCTTCCTGAATGGCCCCCTGAGTGAGTGAGTGAGTGAGTGTGTGTGTGTGTGTGTTTCTTGGGGGTGGTGTGCAGGGGATGCATACTGGTTCATAACACATAGAATGCAGAGCTTCCCTAATTCACAGCCCCGGTGAAAATGCAGACAGGGAGGTAGGGCCATTTTTAAAACAAAGGCAGAGACTGATAAAACTTTTCTTGGGCCTGGTTTGGAACTTCCAGCTTTGCAAATTCCCTGGGTCACCGATCTTGCTAATACATGTTGAGAGCATTACTTCTTTGCCCAAAAGATCTAATCCTTGTCACCTCTCTGCTGAACAGGGTAAATATCAAACTCCTGGCCAGGGCAGGAAGTTGATTCCTTCTTTGATTTCCCATGGCATAATTTTTCACTTTTCTTGTGTGTCCTATTCCAGGTGAACTCTCCATCCTTACTCATCTTGTAACCTCTGCTCATCCTTGTTCTCTTCCCCAGAGTCTCTTATTTTCTCTCCAGCCTCTCTCAAAATTTGGCTAAAAGGTACCTCCTCCCATAAGACCTTCTGGATTTTTCTACTTGGGTGAACTGTAATAATATTCCTGCCTATTTGTCGAAGTTGGCTATTGTGCTCTATAACGTGAAATTCTCACACAGTCCATTTATAGATGAGAAAATGGAATCAGAGAGACTAAGTCCTTTGTTCTGGGTTCCCCAGCTCTGAGTACAAATGCTTTCAGTCAGTGCCACTTTCCAAGCATATGCAAATCCTATGCAGTTTCTGGAATACACTGCTGTCATTTCACCTTGCATACAGTAGGTGCATGGTAAATTCCTGTATGATAAAATTCAGACATAAGTGAACAATGATCCCTTTCTCTTAGACTTCCAGTCTACTTCAGGCCCACAGGTTCACCTCTGCATGTGGAAAGAGTCCCAGAGCTGGGATTGTCTGAGAGGGGAATGGTTCTGGGGGGCTGAAGAGGGAAGTGGTACTTAGGTCCCAGGAGGGGTGATTCCCTGACTTTGGGTGTTAGGGAGTAATGAGTCCTGAGCATGGTGAGGCCTGGAAGCTGCTGGCTCACAATCCTAATTGGTATGTGGTCCATGAATGTGGTCCCACTGCCAGGATGGCCTGCAGGGTAAGGACCTGGATTATTGAAATTCTCTGAGAAATGATACCAAGACAGGATTAGATGTTATTAGGGCACATATATGTGAGGGAAAATGGGGTGGGGGAAGCCATGGGAGGCTGGGAGAGCATCATTTATAACACTGACCTGAACGTGTGAAAGAGAGAGGGAAGTGAGGATGGCAGGTTGAGAGGAAGCATATTTGATTGTAGAACAATTCGAAGAAAGTTCTGGCAAGCCAATTTGGAGGTGGGGCGTGGTGTTTCTCAAGACAAAGTGCCTGTCAGAGGAGTCTTGCCTCTCGCAGGAATGGGTTTCCCTTATGTTCCCACAATGCTCAGTCTCTGACTGGAAGGAGCCTGTAGGAAGTGTCACCTCTGCAGGCACAGAGCCTGGTGCTGTGCCTAATGGTGGGGAGACAGGTGTTGTAACAGATGGTGGAATAACTCTTTCTGGAAGAGGTGTTGTGAATGCCTCTAGGTGTGTGCGGCATTGGGGCGCCTCTTTCTCAACCTTCTGTTGACTTTGAAACTACAGTTTAAGAGCCATCTGCTCACATTCAGCTGTTGAGCTGCCGCTTCCTCCCTCCCTTACCTTGACCATATTGCCTGCTCGGTTGAGCCTCAGTTTCCCCTTATGTAAGACAAGGCAGGTAGATTTGCCTTTAAGGCCCAGAGCGCACCTGCAAAGAAATGACTAACAAGCCTTTGCTCAGAAGTCTGAGGGGCCTTCTCAGTCCTGCACTGATGGTCTGGTTTGCTGGGCGGCCCCGGCAGCTTGACCTGGAGGACGCTTCTTCCCACCTCCTCTCTTCCTTCCCCCTCCCCCTTTCTTACTCTTGCCCCGCCCCTTCCCCTCCCCCTTCTTCCCCCTCCCCCTCCCTTCCCCCAGCAGGAGGGAAGGAGCCCTTGGGGGCTCTGTAAACCCGGGAAAGAAGCTGATTGGTCTGGCCTGGGCCAGGTGTCTGCTCTGGTCCAATCAAGTACGCTCAGGGGGAGGAGCCACTTGCCAGCCACGTGGGGGTGGAGCCTTGGAGCTGCTCAGCACCTGGGGCGGCTCCCGCAGGTCTGGTGACGCGGCTCCCTTGACGCCTGCCCAGTGGGGCAGGTGCGAGGCAAGGAGCGAGCTCTGATTTATCTGGGTGAGGCGCTTGGCAACACCTGACCCCAGCGCTGCCTGGGTGAGAGGCCCTGCGGTTTCCCACCCGAGATGCTGACCGCTGCGGGGGCAGGTCGCGCTCTGTGTAGCCCTGGCAGCCACCCAGGTCGGGAACACCGCCCTCTGCCTGCCTTAGCGGGGACGCCCTGGTAGGTACCCTGCCCTGCGGTTAAATAACCCCGCTGTACTCTTGGGTTTGGGCCCAGCTCTTTCCCCAGCTCAAGCAAGTTCCTTCTCTTCAGGCCTCGGTTCCCTCATCTGCCAAGTGGCTTGCAGCTGGCTGGCCGGTGGGGGAGAGGCCGTGTGTTGTGGAGGATTGGACCTCAGCTTTCGAGCTGACTTGAATCAAGCTTCTCCTTGGTGTGTGTGACCTTGGGCAAATTACTCAATCTCGTGAAGCCTCAATTCCCCATCTATAAAAGAGGAACAAAGAATAATCTCTCTTTTGTTCCCCCAAAAGGTGATGTGAAGATTCAGTAAGGGAATGCATGAGAGCTCTGAGCACGGTGTGTAGCACGATGGGACGGTGCTATGCACAGGCCCAGGGCACACTCATTCACCTCTTATCCTTTGCTCTTCTCCAGCCTCGCGCCCCATGGTTCCCTGGCTCATGGGCCAAGCGGTGATCATGCCCGCCCACCGTGCGCACATAACCACACCTGAAGAGTGGGATGAACTGCAGACGTTCTGCCTGGATGGCCCCAGCCTCATCCATTCAGCGCCTTATTGAAGTGGCAGGTAAGTCCCTGTCCTAGGGACTTCTGTGCAGGGCCGAACACATCCTGCTGAGTGAGTGCTCACTGCAGGCTTAGGGAAAGCCTGTCTTTGGTGTCTGGACGGCTAGATTTCAGCCCAGTGTTTGCCATTCACTTCCTGTGTGAATTCCCCCAACCCACAAACTAAATAAAGGTTCCATGAGCTGTGAGGGAGGACATTCACAGGGAGGAGAAGGGAAAGGAAGTTAGGTCTGGGGATCCAGAGGTCTTGGGTACCTGGTGCGGCCAAGGAGGTGGGCAGATTCTGGACCACCTTGTCCTGAGGCAGATTTTGGAGCAAGACAGCTACTGGAGTGGGAGCCACTGTAGTGGTTGCCTGGTGGCACAGCCTGGCTCATGGGCATTATACAGCTGTGCAGAGCTCCCTGGAGTAGCAGAATGCTTCCCTAGTGTCTAAGAGGGTTTTCCACAGCCTGGACTTAGTGTGTTTGTGATGTCCACTACAGTGTGGCACAGATAGGCACAGAAGACAGGAGAACCCAGAGAGGCTGAGGTGGGGCCCAGAGAGAGGCCATGTGTGGTCGGTGGGCACCAATGTCCAGACATCTTGAGGAGGACAGCATGGCAGATGACCATGCTCATGCTCCCCCTCTCCCACCTCAGCACTACATCATCCCTACCCCAACCCAAGAAGTAAGGTATAGCCTTGAACAAGATTAGGTGTCTTGCATTTGGGTGAAATGAGGGTTCAAAATAGAAATACAATTCAGCTAGATAAAGGAAAGAGTTCTGTTTCTCATGTACCTAAGTTTGGAACCTGAGATTTGTATCTGCCACACAAGGATAAAGGGGACATTTTGTTGGTTCATACAGATAAAAAGAGGTGGCATTCAAAGAGAATCAAACTAGCACTGATTCTTACATCTGCAATTCTGGACGACAAAATTTCAGCAGACCATTAGGGCAAAGATTTGTGATCTAAGGAGCCTTCATCCCAGTCAATATGCCATTAATTCCATCAAAGCAACTTGGGGGCACTTGTGAACTGAGGAAAATACTCAGACTGAATGAAAACTAGATTTGAAGAAAGATCTCAGAATGCAATGAAATATATATAGTTAGATGTATACATAGGAGAAAGAATGGAGACATCGCTAAATCTAAATAAACAACAACAGGGTGATTAATCATTCATAGTTTCAGGTAGTGATTCTTAAAGAACTATAGAAAGCCTATTAAAAGTAAGAAATGATATAACCTAAGTCTGTAGTATCCACTATGGTGACCACATGTGGCTCTTTAAATTTATTTATTTTTTTAAACATTTATTTATGCATACAAGAGCTCGGGTACAGGCCAGAGGTGCGGGGGGGTGGGGTGGCTGGGGGCGGGGGTGGTGGTGAGAGGATTCACCAGAGACAGAGTGGGAAGCAGAACAGGCAGATCAACTGAAATACACTGCTGAGGGGAGCAGTGGGCGAGTCAGGAGAGGTCTGCTGTGCCATGTGGGTAGCTCCCTGGCCAGCTGGGGATCGAACTCACATTGCAGAGGCTGCAGATTGCTTCATAGTGCTGTGCTTAACCCCTTGCATCACCAGGGAGACCCTAAATTTTAATTAAGGTAAAATAAAATATTCAGTTCCTCAGTTGCATTAGCCACTTTTCAAGTGTTTAGTTACACATCGTCGTTGGTAAAGTCCATCATTATAGAAAGTTCTTTTAGGCAGTGCTGGTCGAAATAATTAGCAAATCCATGTAGAGGAAAGGATGTTTTGGAGAATAGAGAATAAAAGTATTCTAAAGGTCTTCTGAAAGGATGGGGGGAAGTATGAACAGGCAAAGCCAGCAGCAAAATTGAAAAGTGTAGTAGAATTTCTAAATAAGCCCCTATGACCATGGTCATGGTGCCCCTATGACCCGTGAAATAAAGAACAGAGAAATTTGACCAAACCAAAAAAGGGAAAGTAGAAGGGAGAGGGGGAATATAATGCAGAGTAAATGTGAAATTATTATTTTTTTCAAAGAGATGATTTTCTTTATTTTTTTATTGTCCTAATTTGCCCTCGTAGTGTTTAAATAGTAGACAGAGCTGTGTTTATTATTCTTAAGTGAATGTAAAATTAGGTAAGAGGAATAAAACTAAATTAATTAACTATCACAATAACTGATCTGGATCATCTCCCCTGTCACAAGTCAAAGATGCCATTTCTAGTAGATGTGTACAGAAATATCCCCTGGGACTAAACACTAAAATGATGCATAAATTTTTTGAAAATATTTTGTAACACATAACTTAGATGACAGAAAATAAGGGAAGTGTCAGTGTTTAGAAGCATCAAGAATTCTTGACTCCACCCAAGTAAGTGTATTTTGGAGCCAGCATTTACCTAAAGGATATCTGCCTATCCTTGGTGATTCCAAGCCTGTGTTCAACAGGCTACATAGCTTGTGGCATAGAAGATAATTCCTGGGGCCCAAGCAAGGTGGGAAATAGATTAGAAGATCTCTATATAAAGCCTAAATCCAGAAGGCTAGTAAACTAGGAAACAAAAAGGCCCACAAGACTTGTCTGATTCTGTTTTCAGTAGGATTGGAATAGAGGAAAGATGGTCTTCCCTGAGAATTTCTAGGAAAAGCCCAGTTTGAAGTGGGTTTGGTGCCAGAATTCATACTGCCTGTATTGCTCCCTGTGCTCCTCTCCACCCCCAAAACCCTAAAAATTCAATTGAAAGTATTCCCTAGATGCCAGATAAAGTAATTGCAAATGTTCCCGGAGGAACACACCTTCAATATAGGCTTCAAGGAATTCTCACAGATAAACTTTCAAGGAACAGAAGGTCATACTAAAAAAACAAAAACAAACAAACAAAAAACCCCCCAAATCATAGCATTAAACAGAAGAGAAACTAAGCTACCTGAAGCAAGAGTCAGCAGAAAAACCATTGCTGACTAAGAACACCAACAAAAGATATTAGAATTATCTGTTATTGGTATAAAATAATTATGTGAGTTTTACTTAAAGAAATTTAAGAGGTGATTGAAAGAAAGTATGATAAAAGAATGAGGGAATATCAAAACAGACCAGATGAATTTGTAAAAGAACCAATAGAATTTCTAGAAATTACAACTATTATGGACATTAAAACCTAATAAATGAAGGACTGGTTCTGGGAAAGATGGAATAAACACATTCTACCTTGTCTCTTACTGAATACAATTATACACCCTGACAGAATGTATGGACCAACCCTCTGAAGACTTGAAAAGTAAATGATAACCAATAAATCAGAGAAGGAATCACAAATTTCAAAGCACAATTGAACAGGGTTGAATTTCTCTCCCCCCCTTTTTTTTAAAGATTTATTTATTTATGCATATAAACCTGGGGTACAGGCCAGAGATGTGGGTGGTGAGAGGATTCACCAGAGACAGAGCGGGGAACAGAACAGGCAGACTGACTGAAATACACTGCTGCGGTGAGCAGTGGGTGAGAGAGGAGAGGTCTGCCTCGCCATGTCGGTTGGTCCCTGGCCGACCAGGGATCGAACTCATGCTGCAGAGGCTGCAGATTGCTTCATAGTGCAGTGCTTAACCCCTTGCACTACCAGGGAGGCCCTCTCTCTCCCTTTTTTTCCTTCAGTATTACTTAGCCTGGACTTAAGGCAGCCTGAAACCTGGAGGGATACAATATGTATAGGCTGAAAGAGCTTCAGGACAGCAGACTCTTTCAGATTGTTTCTGGTTGGAGAGTAGGAAATAAGATCTTAAGCATCAGAGGGAGAGGGTGGGTTTTCCTGTTTCTTTCTCTTTTTTTTTTTCTTTCACCCTTATCGCATCCTTCAGATGATTTTGCAATGGTGATAATGGCAGCATCAGTCAACTAGTATCTAAAATTCTGAGGGAAAGAAAACTTTTACCAGAAGAACTGCAAACTCAAGAGCATGGGCAAATTCCTGTTGCCTTTCCCCACCTCTCTCTCTTCCTACTGCTTAGTCTGGACACAGATGTAGTCATAAGACATGCATAGCAGAACTGGGAAATCAAAGTCTCATATTTCTGACTGGGAAACTGGAAAGAGAGGCCTCAGGGAGCCTGAAAGTGTTGGTGTGATTGTGGAGAGAAGAGAGCATAAGAGAGTGAATTTCTGGGATTGCTTCCAAACTGTTTTCCTAAACTGAATATGAAAGGCTTTGAAAACTGTACTTTGGGGTAGCCCACTGCTTAGGTCCCAGACCTGGTGTTGCATATCTAGGGCACATTTGAGCAGCAAAAGACTTTGAAAACTTAACTGCTATTAGAACCAGATTCTGTAGAAAATGTATCGAAACTTTCAAACTATACCTAGCCTACCTCAATTGTGTGTTTGTCTATAATCAATTATATATATGTATGTCCATGTATATCATAATTCTCCTGCCCACCTGCTTTAAAATAAATACCAAAGGAAATTTTTCAGATGATACCGTAGGGAAAGGTGGAACATTGGTTATGAAGGATGAACAGAAATGATAAATATCTGGGTAAACAGACTTCGTTTTCTCTTGAGTTCTCTAAAGTATAACTGGCACTTGAGAGCAAGAATTATAACAACATGTGATCTTTTCAATATAGATCTAGTATGTAAGACAGCTATGATAAAAAGAAAGGAGGGCGAGGGGACTGCTCTAAGTAGTAAGATTTCTACATTCCACTTAAGGTGGTAAAGTACTGGTTATAAGTAGACAGTGAAAAATTAAGTATGTATATTATAATTCCTCCTGAATTATACAAAGAGCTATAGTAAAAATATAATAGAGAAATTAAAATGGAATATTAAAATGTTTAAATAACTTACAGGAATAAGGAAACAAACAGAGGAACAACAACAACAACAACAAAAAAAAAAAACAACAGAGAGAACAAAAGGAAATAAATCATAAAATGGCAAATCTAAATCCAAACGTAATTACATGAAATATAAGTATACTAAACATACCAATGAAAAGATAGAAATGGTTAAAATGGATTAAAGAAGTAAGGTGT